GTCATAGACTTTCTGAATAAATATGGAGGAAAACCTGTCCATGTTATGCTGAATTTTATAAATGTATATTACCTGGTAAACAGCGCATATCTTCAAGTACAAGGATCATCTTTTATAGTCTCTATGTTACTAGTGAGCAAACTAATGGGGACGATTTGCTTAACTTTCCAAAATGATGGCTGAAAGGGAATGTGATAGCTCTCTACAAACCCATAAGGATTACACTGAAGTGCAGTGTGGGCAATGAAAAATATTGTTGCCTACGGGCTCTGTATAAATACTGGCTGGCAAGGGGAAGGTTTTTAAACATCAGCGGAATACAGTTGTGAAATACCTTTCTACGAGACTAATGTGGGCAAAGAAAGCCTAAGCAAACATAGTGCTTTTAAGGCATGGTTAGCTAAAGACAGACCATTCTTGACACCAATTTTTGCTAGTCGTTCAGTAGGAATCAGAGGAACTAGATTCACAGCAGTGTCAGAAATTGTCAACGGCCAAGTTTGCATAAACTTATGTCTTTTGGTAGATCAAAGGAGGGAGTAGGTGCAAGAATATTCCTAAAATTAGCAGCAGAGGAAAAAGATAGCCATGGAATTTATAAGAATTCATAGACTCTATAGATTCTTCTGCAGAATCCTTCTGTGATTTTATAACTTTTCTTATTTCTGTTTTACCACACAATCTTTGGTCAGAACTCAGCTTTCTGGACTCAATTTTTAATGTTTTAAATTTGAAAAATTTGCAGGAACAGAGATGCGTAATATCCCTAAATTGCCACGTGGGGGCACTGTTGCTGCACGTAAGACAAGTAAGTTTAAAGCCTTTTAAAAAGACTTCCACTATTAAATGTTTATGTTTTGTGCAGTATTCCCCAAATCTAAGCTAAATCAAACTTATAAGGGCGGACTGGAAATATTTTGCAGCTGACAGCACTGAAATAAATTATTATTGCACTTACATTTAGTCTGTCCTGGCATTACAAATTTTAACTGTGAGTGACATCTAGTATTTGAGTCTATGTATGTTAGTTGCACTGATTAGAATAATGTTAGAACATCTCTGAAACTGAAAATAAAATCATTCAGGTAAGTTATATAGCTGATGAAGCTCAGTCAGACATTTTTAGAAGACTGAGTGAAATATGTGGTTTCTAACAAATGCAGAAATAACATTTTCAGAATTATTCTGTAATTGTATTCATGTGAAATTCCACCAACAGAAAGTAGAACACTTGTCCTTCCTGTGATTAGATTATTAATATCACATGGGAAAGGCAGTGATATTTTGTCTATATAGGTAGTTAGATACTCTAAAAACCCACTGGGTCAGCAGGTCAGCTGCTGGTAATTTCTGCAGAAGGAATCTGGAAATAAAATAGCTGAAGTGTGGCAGGCCATGGTGGAGGTTCCTTAACAAAGGTGCCTGTAGAGGACTCTAACTGTCAT